TGTGATTGAAAAGATAGGGTACAACTGGTACTCCAAACAGCCACACCTTTTTTTTATTTATTTATTTTTTTTTATTATTATATAGCACCATAGTTACCTTTTTTATGCACTGCTGCCACTTGATTGACCATTTTGGATATAGACTTTTTGTTTTATTTTTGATCAGCTAACATAATCAGTAAATGGAAACTCAAAACAAGGTAAGATGTGTTATGACTTATAAATATTTGTTTATTCAAATGACTCGAAATCATTACTGTACTATACAAGGAATATACAAGGTGGTGGGGGAATGCTGAAAAGTTATTGCACTGACCCACTTCCCAAAATCTGACCAAATCGCAAACATCAGAAATTTTTTTTTTTTATGAATTTTTTCTTTGATGAATTTTTTTTTTTTGATGAATTTTTTCATGACATGATTTATGTTTAAGTAAATTGAACCAATTATCTATGTATATATACACACACACACATATATATATATATATATATATATATATATATATATATATATTCTCAGGATATAGAAATCCCAACAAAGTTCTTAAATTTGAGAAATGTAAATGTTTCATAAAACTAGATTGAAATGTGTGAGGGAGGTGACTTCACCACTGTTGGGAAGTGCCTGAAAAACCATATGACAGCTTGACCCAAACCTTGTGAGTGAGACAGAAATGTTCAGACGCCATTGATGCTTGTGCTAGCATGAAGTCACAATTCATTGTGTCCAAGATTTTGAGCATACTGACCTTGTTCAGACTGTTGATCACATCAGATGATATGCTCTCGCCCACAAACTGTAACTAAGGTCAGTTCAGCATAGCTGCAATATAAACTGCAGGTTGGCTCTGTGGGTGTTGAACAAACACAAATTTACCTGAGTTGGCATCTACAACAGCCATACCTACTGACATTGGTCTCCTTTTATTACATTAATTTAAATTGAGACACAAAAAGGGCCAAGATGTCACCAAAATTGTTGGTATGTATATTTGATAATTTTTTTTTTTTTTTTTTTTTTTTTAATTTTATTGAGAATAGGGAGGATTGAGAAAAGGACAAATGGTGTTCAAGAAGACAGAAGATGGTGATTGATATTGTTTGAAGGTTGTAGTTATCAGGGAATCAAGGAAATGGAAGAGTTCTACAAGTGGGAAGTGCAAGAAAAGAAACTGTTGAAGTAGTGGTTGCACTTAGCTAGTAGCCAATCTAGTACTGCACTTAAATTCAACAGTGGGCAGGGGTAATCTTGTTAGAGTACTTGCCATGGAAATATTTGTAGAAAAGACAGAGAGAAGTGATGTCATGTCAGTGAGAAACTGACTGAAGTTGGGTCCAGGTTCTGGTTCAAGAAATGGCTCCCAGCAAGAATGGTATCAGTAGTTGGCCTTCCATTCTTTCATCTGATTTTGCAGCCTTGTTGTTATCAACAATCACTGTAAACTTTTACTTTGTAACTGCTCACTCCTCTGTTTCTCTTCTCTTTTCGTTTCTCTTTACCTTGAATTCTCTCTAGAAATTCCTAAGATAATCTTCTGAAGATAAAGAATACAGGAAAAATTCTGGCATAAACCATTCATTTCTTAAAGTCTGACCAGCATAGTAATATATTTTGCACGATATTTCTAAGATTTTTATTTTTTTAATTGCCATATTTCCCTTTAGGACACATCGTCCTGGGTATGACGATAAACTAAATCCAGTAGCAAGGCCTTTGATCAGGAAATTTGAGATGTTGAGGAGCATGGAACCACCTATTAATTGCTGTTGTTCCTAGGTTCATCCTGACCCATAGTGGTAGCGCCATATGGGCAAATAGTGAACTCCCAAACAAAAATCAATAGTACATTTTTATAATAAAATTACCAAAAATTTTATAATCTATAAAATATGTATCTAAAAACATAATTTCGTGAGAAAGGTATGTACAAAATATCTGTAGTTGAAAGCATAAAATTACATACAAAATATTTAGATTTTAGCATTAAATAACCCATAGTGCTTGATATGCCGCCAAACAAAATCAACCAACTTCGGGACATAGGTGACCATGACAAATACCATTTTTCTTGTCTGAATTTCTGGGATGAAGAGTTATTACTATTTACATGATTTATATTTGGACTGTTGTCCCCATCTCTGTTGTTGCTATCACATTTCAGCTATTGGCCTTTCTCAGGTGTATATCAATCTGGGTAATCTACAAGGAATTCTTAACTGAACTCTTCATTTAATGTATGAGGGTAGACTGTTTTTGTTATCTAGTTCTTAATTTATTTAGTACTGTGTAGTTATTGCTTGCCTGTTTCCATACTGAACTCACAAGCACTTTGTCACCAAATTCACAAACCAATGCTTTTATCCACTAGGCCATTGTCCCAATTGGCTGTAGTTTAAAGCCTTAAACCTAACCTAGCTACTGATTAGGTTGCTGCTGCTGGCTGTCATGTTTTGATTCCTACTGCTGTGATTGAAGACTTGCTCTCACTTGTCTTTCTTTATTAGTGGGTACTATACTAGTCTTTATACTAGGCCTACTAATCATTTTTTTTTTTTTTTTTTTTTTTTTTTTTTTTTTACCTGTGAATTGCCATGATTATGGACTAATTTTTCATTGCTTTCTTCATGTTTTGGAAATCAAAATTGTCCCTCTACTAGACTAGTTACCACACAAGGCTAGAGTGTTCATTCTACACTGTTATTTAACTCTTAACTGGGAGAAGAAGAGATGGATGTAAGCTTTTTTTCTCCATTTGTAGTAATACAAAATGAAGGCTAAAATGTTTCCTCATAATACAAAATTTTATTACATTTCATTGGTGTCTATGAACCAAGGAGCCACATATGCAATGTAATCATCCTCTCTCTCCCATGTAGAGAATGTCAACTTTGAAAATCAGTGTTTATGGCTTCAAACATCGACCACAAGAAATTATGCCGCGACATCAATTAGTACACACTGATATTTCACTGATAAGAAAATTTTTATGCATTTGAATGAGTGTGTGACCCCACTTCTACTTGCTGCTAAAATTCACATAGCCCTTCTTATTGCCATTGTAAAACCTATTAAACACTCATGTTAAGGACTCTGACCTAGAATATATGTACCCGGTACATTTTTCTGTAAGCCATGAAAAAAAAAAAATTGAATGTATTGTTTTAGGTTTAATAATGTTGTAATTGTGCCTTTCCTTGTATACCCGTCTCTCTTTTTGTCTTTTTTTGACAGTTTTTAAAGTTTAGACTTAAAATTACATAAATTTATTTTTATGACCTGTTCTTGTACCGACAAGAACGTATATTTGAAAGAAAAAAAAAAAGGTGTTTTCTGTTCAATGTTCCCAATTTTTAAGGTAAATCTTTTGAAATTAATTTTAGAAAATGAATTTTACTTTTTTTAGTTAACATTTCTTGCAACTGCGGTCGATTTAGAGACTTAGAGCAAGATTGGACTTCGAGAGAGAAGCAAACAAGCGAAATCGACAAAATTAATTTGATCGATATTAGTGTTGACTGTTGAGTTAATTGTTTTTACTTTTTAGTTTACCTACAATTTATTTGAAATAAGTTACCAAACACACACTTTTTAGTATTTTTTTCTCGGGACAGGTATCTAAGATTTTAAAAATGGACAAGAATGTTTAAAACAAGAAAAAAAAATATTTCGTCTAGGTTTTTGGGTTTCATTTTTTTTTTTTTTTTTAATTAGACGGATAATGACGCCCACCACTTGTCTTTTGGACAAGATTTAAAAATAAAAAATTATTGCATATAGAAAATGTTAGGTAAATAAATTTACTGAAGGCGATTCGACAAAAAGCTATCTACCTACGCCAACGACCAAGTTGTGTATTATTATTTCTGTTCCTTGTGCTTTCAAGTTTCAAAGCATTGTTCCTGATCAAGCACCGAAAAAAACATTCCTATTTGTAAGAAAAGGGCTGCATTTTTTTATGTAATTATAAATTTATTAATCCGACAGATGTTTTTTATTACTTTAAAAACGTTATTTTTATTGGTACTTATCGAGTAGAAGGCTTCGTTTAAAAACAGTATTCATTTTTCGCCTATCGGCCTGAATATTCGAGAAAGAGAAAAATATGCGCTCTTCGGCAGGATTTGAACCTGCGTTCACCTCTGGCAAACCATCATTAATAAATAAGCTGAGCGTCTACTCGAATACGAGTATCCACTAAACTTTTAACAAGTAAAAAACAAATTAAGAAATAAAAAAATCGAGCTAAGGTAGCCGTCAATAAAATTTGGCCCTGAAGAAAAAAAAAAAGCGGGCAGTTTATGATCTTCTTACGTAGTTTTATGCTGATTACTCACAAGGCTTAATGAAGAAGCCTTTTTTTTTTTTTTTTTTTTTTTTTTTTTTAACCCATCTTCAAATTAATTAATGAGAACTCGACATTTCAGATACTGCGGTTTGTTTACACAGCAACATTTTTTTTTTTTTTGCATAACTGAAAATTTTAAATTATGAAAGGCGTAGACATTGTTTGTTCCCTGTACTTTGTCTCGTCGTCTCCAGTAAATGTGACAAAAAAAAAAAAAAAATATCTGACTTGTCATTCATACCACGATCGTTGACCACGGAGTGTGGATGAGAAAATAAAACTATCCAGCCACTAACATCCGGAAGGAAACATTCATCATTTTATTTTTTAACACTTAGCTTCAACCTTGCCGGAGTTCAGTCATTCATTAGCAAAGTTTTTCTTAACTTCGTCCAGTGGAAGGCTACAGGTGTCGTGAGGATCGAACTCTTTTTAATTTAAAAAAAATATTTGTCAGCAAAACAAAGTCGTTAACTAAACATATTTTTTGTTTTACTATTGTTTTTACTCCCTGAGACGGTCATCCAATTGAAATAAAATCTATTGTTCAAAAAAAAAGCGGGGTGTGAAAAGAATTGTTATCACATGATCAGCGCACTTGGCTTGATTTTGAAAACCAAACTTTTTGTTTTTATCGAAGCCATCATCAGTATGGATTGTTCTTTCTACCCAGCAACGTGCGTAGGTCAGTCAGTTTTTTTTCCTTTTTTGACTCTTTCTTTGCCGGCTCTTTTTAGTCTTACGTTTAACAATTTTTGTGATATTTCTCCTTACTTTAACGAACCAAATCAGTTTCAGAACCTACCTAGCATAGACGTTTTTCATTTTATCAGTTATTGATTCTAATCATCTCTAATTATAATTGTGATTATTTAGAGAAAATCCGTTTAACAATTTTTTTACGTAATTTTGTTCACTGGCCAAGTTGAATGCATTTTTTCAAAACTTAAGGAGCACTTGTTTTGTTGTTGATAAGACTTGAATTGAAAACAACTGTTAAGTTCAGAATAATTTAAAAAATTGAATTTTTTTTTTGTTGGCAGGTTTGAAAATATTTCTGATTACATAACAGAAAATTTGTCCTTTTTTAAAGTTTTAGGTTCGATAATCGTTTCTTTCTTAGCAACAAAAACAATATTTTAAATTAAGTCTTCATTTTTAATTTTGTCTTGTTCAAGGTCAGCATAGTTTCTTAAATTTTTATTATTGTTTCTTTGCTATACAAAACTTTCACTATAAATTTTAAAATCTCTTTGAAATGAAAATTTCCTAGCATTTTATGCCGCATACAAAAGCGGTATTTAAATAAAATCAAATTTTTAATTTTTTTAACTAACATGTTCTTAAAAATAAGATTCTAAAAAAGATTTCGTTTTTGACTTTAACTCGGTCGAATATCTGAACTCCACAAATTTAAGTTTTTTTTTTTTTTTTTTTTTTTTTTAACCTCTACTAATTTCAAACAATAACTAAATTCAGTTTTATTTTATTTTTTTTTTTTTTTTTTTAAACAAACCGTGAAAATACTTTTTTTCCACTAATAATTACGATGCAAACTTGAAAAAAAAATTTAATTAAACTTACTTTTTTTTAAAAACGAGCAGGAACATACAATCAAATTCGCATTTTTACTTAATTTTGGCTTTTTCTTTATTTCATGACGAGAATCCACTCACATTCACCACAATTTGAATATCTTCAAATCTTCACAATTTTTGAATATATCCTTTTTAAATTATTGCGTCAAAAAAAAAAGATTTAGTTTTTGACTTTTGACAAAGTACAGGGAAAAAAAATTGATTTGCATTTCCATTTAATTTGAAAGACCGAGTTTAAAAAAGATAAATGCAGATTTCAATGCAGATGTACAATTCTTTTTAGTTTACAATAGAAAACTTTTTTTTTTTTTTTTTTTTTTTTTTAATATAAACGCTTCAAGAGACATCACTCTTTTTTTGAAAAATGTGTTTAATCCCCTTATGCAACATCAAAAGTTTGAAGGGCAAGAAACCTGTTTTTTTATTGCAGGTACTAATCTTTATTGGGACCATTTTTATAATCTACCGTAAAATTTGAAGGTCTTAACTATTTTTTTTTCCTGCGTGTGTAATAAAATCAATTCAATCAAAATTTTTCTTATATTTTTTATTGCTAAAAAAACTTAAGTTCCTCTTTGATGAGAGTTGCATCAATTGATTAATAAGTTGGCTGTGGACTTATTTTTTTTACACCAACACTTATATTATTTATTACTTAAAACATGAGTGACTTGAATGAAATGGACGCCCTATTTTTGTTTAACAGTACATAAGTTTAAAAGTAATAAAAAATGTTTATTTCAAAATTTAATGTTCTGAATATTGCTACCGCATCTGGTCTGCTGTCCCAGCAATATATTTAGAGATTCTTGATAAAATCCAAAGAATCTGTAATGTTATATTGGTCCTGACCTAGCATTTCGGCTTCAGTCACTTTGTAGCAAGAAAACACAATTTACACACATAGATATAACAAAAGCCAAATTTATACAATTATTAGAAAACATATCTTAAGCTACACACTAATTTTCGTCTAGCTAAGTCACACACACACACACACACTGCACTCTACTCAAAACATTTTAAAACAAACACAAATATACCAGAGTGCTGACCATTATTGATACTACTCTCACTTGCCACAGATGTCTACAATTACATCTGTGCATTTCCCTTATATAGACTATAAAAGAAACTGAACAGAAGTGAGAGAGCAAAGAGACAGGCTTCATAGACACACACACACATAAATAGAGGCTACCTGGAGCACAGTTGACTGCCTGTCCGACCATTAGACTGTGAAAACAAACGACCTCCTGTGAACACAGAATGAACTCCACTATCAATGTGACAAGCCCAAACCAATAGCCAACAAGCAGTCAGCTCGATAAGTATACTACTTTCTATAAACAATTTAAATACAATGTTAATCATTTTTTTCTTCATATTTTGAAATACTAGCAGGTTTATGATTTCTAATTTGTTTTAAACATTGAGCTCAAAATAAAGTAACTTAGATTAGCAGAAGAAATAGGTTTTGTATTTTATTTTTTTTATTTAAAATGTCATTTGTTCATGACTGTATTTTTGTGTTTGAGTACAGGTATGTGAGTATGTAAACCTTTCTTCTTGTATCATTTATGTTAAGTTGCAGGCCCATCTTTTTATTCTAAATTTTGTTTTGACTCATTTCATCTTTGTTCAGATAAGAGAGGAAAAAAAAAAGATAAAGGCTGAAACATTGTGTTAGCAAAATCCAAGAACATAAAGGAAGAGTTTATCCAAATGCCAACATTTGATATATTGACAATATGTCCATTTACTTTGCAAATTTCCAGTTTGTTTTTTTAATATCTGTAAAAATTTATAAAATGTTAATTTTTTTTTTTTTCTTTTTTTTTAAAAATAAAATAAAATCTTTGAGTGAAACAAAATAACTCACCTTTGCACAGGTTTCTTTCTCACCTGATGTATTGAAACCACTTACCATATTATTTCCACTAATTCCATTGTGAATTTTTTCTGTTCATAGTTTTTAAATATTTCTTTATGGTTTGTTAGTATTTATTTTTATTTGAAAAATTATGAATTATTATTATTTTTTTTTTTTTTTTTTTTTTAATCATAAAATAAGTTTCTTTTAATTTTTTTTCTGATTCAAGATGAATGTGTAACATCCTCCACCCTGCACGTGGCTGTCCTGGGTAAGATAAACTACATCCAACAGCAAGGCCTCTGATCAGAAGGTTTTTTGGAGTGTAGAACCACCTCTTAATTGCTGCTGTTCCCAGGTTCACTCTGTTAGGGTCCCAGCTATAAGCAAATAATTAACCCCCCAAACTGGATCAAACCACTATGAAAGTATAAAAATAGGTTTTAATACCAGCAATAAAGTTTTTGAAAAAATTATTACCAGCAATATATTATTACAAACAAATATTTCCAGTGATACATTTTTGAAGAAAAAATATTACCTGAAATAAAAATCTTGTTGGCATTAAATAACCCATTGAGTTTGATGTGCCATAAAACAAACAAACCAACCAACTAAACTACACATGGTTATTTTGGATATTTTGATATACAAAAATAGAAAGGAGTGTAAGACCAGGATTTGTCTTCTTACCGGATATATTCAACCTATACAGCGATGTAATTCTGAGAATATTAGATGTCCTAGCAGGATTCATTATTGGTGGCCATAATCTTGACAATGCAGATGATACTGTGTTGACAGCAGTCACGGAAATAAAAACTACAAAAACTCCTCCAGAAGGTAGTGAAGGAAATTGTGAAGAAAGAATTAAACACTAACTGCAAGAAGACAGGATGAACCCAAAATGTAAATTACAGATTGGAGAAACCAAAATTAAACAAGAACAAAATTTAAATATCTGGGAAGTATTTCAACAGAAGATGGAAAGTGTGAGACTGAAATCCAAAGATGCCTTCCAAAAGCTAAGTAGAGTATTGAGAAACAGAAAATTGTTAGAAACAAGGAAAATACTGAATTGTTATGTGATATATGTCCTCCTATATAGCAGTGAATGCTGGACAACCTCCTCAAAGATAAAGAGACTTGAGGCAACAGAAATGTGGTTCTACAGAAGGATGCTGAGAATATATCATGAACTGAATATGTATATATAAGGTTTTAGAAAATGTAAAAAAAAGGAAACTTGTACTCAAGAAGAGATAGTTGAAATTTCTAGGGCACTTAATGAGGAAAGAGGGTTTAGAAAATCTGACACTCACAGGAGATATTGAAGGCAAGAGGTACAGAGGAAAACAATACATAACATATTTACTGTATTTGAGTAAATGGATAGTAGAACAGGGTTTAAGAGAGATGACAAAAAGATAAATATTAACTGCTATGAAGGAAATTGTGGAGAGCCATGATCGCCTACGTCCTGAGGTGACATAGCACATAAAGATTTGTTTATGATGGAATTTATAATAAATAAAATGACTACTTGACATTTACATTTTTATAGCAAAGTTTCCAGAGAAATCAAATTGATTGACAATTTAATTTTTAAGCTGCATAAAATTATGACCTGCATTAGAAAATATAACAAGAATAGAAATGGTTTTGTTTTGAATGTTCTTAAGATATTCTGTAGGTTTTTCTCTCTCTCTCTCTGTGTGTGTGTGTGTAAAATTTCTTTTTAATATTTTACATTAAAACTATCTATTCTGAACAATTCTGAATTCTTTTGCTTCAATAATTGTTTAAATAACTGAGAGAAGAATGGTTTAACAAGGTAATTTCAAGATGTTTGTCACAATTAGAATAATGAAATGCTAAAATGTATAGAGTATACACATTTAAAATCTTATTTTGTATGTGTTGTTCTCATGTTATTTTTTTTTTTTTTTTTTTTTTTTTTTGTTTAAATATTTTGTGTGTTGTCAAAGCTTTGAAAACGCTGTGATCTATGATAAAATTTGTGGGTTGACATGCAATTTTTATTTTATTTTTTTTTTTTTTATCTCAACTGCAGTTCTAAATCTTATTATAAAACACAAATGTCTGTACATTTATATATGGGATTGTATTTCCTACATTTTTCAACTGATTTCAACAAAACTTCACAGGACTACGAAATTACCCAGCGGTGGTTCTGATAGCGCCAAAATTGAA